ACACTTTAGATTTAAAAAAAACCATATATTAATAATAAAACATTATATACTTGTTGTTCTTGGTAGTCTCATTTCATTATGAGCGATATATTGTGAAAGTTCATTTAATGAGCAACAAAAATGTACTTTTTTTACGAGATTAGGAGTTAATGGTTTTGCCAACTTTTTCGCAAACTTTTTGAATGCACTGTTGGGGTTATATAAATATATAGCCGATAGATTTTCGATGGCATCAAGTGGAAATACTTGTACAAATTGTTGAACCCATTGAGCTTGCATTTCATTAGATGGACCAAACTTGGTTAGGTCTATTAAAACATCAAATGGCCTGGTCATGTGTGGTTCGATGGTCTAATTAAATTTGAATGTGAATTTTATTATATTGTATCCAATGCAAGCATTAAATTTTAACGCATAATATCATAAGGATTAACTTACGTGAAGCACATGATACATCAGCAATTCAATGTCTGTAGCTTCAGCATCAAGACGTCTAGCAATATAATAAAATACAGGGCGTCGTTGCTATATGATAACAATAATATTAATTCATATTATTCAACCATAGACGTCATATAATCTGTGCAAAGAAAATGAGTATTAAAAATTAAAAATATATATACAATAACTTACCAGAGACAATCCACCTTCATAAAATATATTCTTGTTGATAATCGATTCTGTGCTTTTATTCACGTTCTTTTTCATAAATTCGAGGAATAAATGATTATTCGGTGCAAATGATTGAACGCTAACATTAAAGAACTCTTTTTTTTGAGATTCCATTGGGGGTCCTAATTGTGCTAGCAATGTTGCTATTCGATCCAACGTTGCTTTATTTGCTTGTGCAGCTGCCTGAGCTAATTCATCATTAGGCAGCCCAAAAGATTTAGCACGACGATTCTGAAGTTCTTTATACATCTTTTCGAGATTGTCGTGTAAAAATTTGTGTAATATCCTCCGGTCAGCATCATCCAGTCTTCTGGGTGGTGTATCAATGGCGTTAAGTTCAGAAGTTGGTGTAGATATTGGTAATTGCTGCATTATTTTGGAAAATATATATATATATATATGCGTATTGAATTAGATAGTTAGATAGTTAGGAAAATTATCAAATTCTTTATATTGTTTTAAACATACAGAAATTCGCTCCAAAAAAGCATTCATTTTCGCAACATTTTCAACAATAAAATCATTCAGATCGCTCATATGCGATTCTTTTCTAACACCTTTATTTGCAATGGTCTGGATAACCCTTGTAACAGACAGTAGTGCACGCCGAACCCTTTGATTGTCTATAGGTTTACAAAGATTCTCACTATCTGGAGAAGCGATCGCTGGATTAAAGAATCTTAGAAATATAAATGCTCCAACTGCTGTGTATTTCTTTAATGGGTATTTCATTTCAACAATTCTAGAAATATTATAACACACATGTCGAAGTGCTCTAAATAATAATAATATAAAAAATATATATCAGAACAATAAATCGGACGTTAATTCATACATATATAAATAAATTAACATACTTTGGCATCATATTGGAAGAATAAATTGCATTCAAGAAGACTTCAATTGTGGCCTTTAAATTTATTTTATTCCTTTCAATTTCAGCAGGTGTATATTTTCCCGGATTCAAGTCACAATCAAAATCTTCAGGTTTTGATAGTAAATCATTTATGGGTGGCTGAAGTGTTTCTCGTAAATATTCCCCACCGTGAACTTTAGTGAACGCGTATAATAATTTCAGTGCAAAGCTATTGCCTCGAAATATTTCTTCTTCATTAGCTGCATTAAAAACGAATTAATTTAATTCCTAATAAATAAGTGTATCATTCACAAGTTATAATTTAGATAATGATAATTACAGTTATTGTACACTTCTCTCTCGATTAAATAACTTAAAAATGGTATCATTTTATTTTTTGAATCAAATACTGCGGTCAAAACACGCGCAAGCTCATCTGAATCATTCTGAGGGCATGCTTCACAAAGTGAAAGTGCTACTTCAAAATCTGAGTTTGTCACCATCTGCAGTAACAAAAAATAAATAAAATATTTTTAATTCACAGCATACAATTACTTAAAATACAATCACTACTATCACCTACCTCAACAAGCCGCTCGTAACGATCCTTTACAGCATTTTCACCCAATCCTTCAAACTCTGCGCCTTGATTTAAAATATTCGTCAATACTTGCACAAATGCGGTTCGAGTTTTAGTATCTTCATGATAAGCCATTGAAATCGAATATCTCAGGCCAGAATCTACATTAGCACTCAGAAGTTTTGACAATTCTAATATTGTGTAATCTTTTAAAGGACCTAGATCTTTTACATATTCTTTAGACTATTTGAAAAAATTTTTTTTTAAAAAAAAGGTTAAGGTCAATCGTGATATTATTTCACAAATGTTTTTTTTTTTTGTATACCTTTGAAAGCAACATCTGCAAATCTTCATTATTCTTTGCGGAATGCGTTCCACTATCGATGGCCTAAATTAAAAATAAAAAAATAAATTTTCTTGAATTATAAAAATCTTAAAGATTCTTTTTTTTTTTCTTTTTTACAACTTACTTCTAAAATCCTACAACGATTCAATAGCTTGATAAAGAAATTAAAATATTTTTGAAACAATCTTGATCTAACTTGACTCAAGTCTACATCATGGATTATTTCACTGGGTTGTAAAGGTAACTGTTGTAACAATGCAACAATTGTTTTTAAACATGCTTGGTCCAAATCACGGTGCATACGTTCGTTTCTGTTAGCACCACCACCCATGCTTTGTTCTGAACCATTCTGGTTGTCCGGTTTCTTTTTTTTTTGAAAAAAAAAAAAAATTTTGAAAATATGTAAGCAAAAATGAAATAATGATTAAAAAGCGGTCACTATAAGAAAATATTACCACATTGTAATCAGAAGTCCATTCAATAATAATTTCCAATAATCTATTCCTTAATTTAATTTCCAACCTCAAGCTCACATAATCCTTTTTTTCCATTAATAATTCTACAAGTATACACATTCGTTTCTTAATCCTTAATGAAACTTGACTAGCACTTAACCTATTCAAATACCTAGCAAAATAAAGTACTAAATTCCCAACATCACATGCATACAAATTTTCAGATAGATCAAATATCCTTTCCAATGTTAATTTTAACACTAATATCGCTTGTTCAACGAATAATGTATATCGATCATTTGGGATCGCTTGCCCATCACTATCAAAAAAATGAGAAACAATCGAATCTAGATGTTGGAATAAAATCACGTATAAACGAGGGCTTAATTCGCTACCAAGAATTTCCTTAACATTTTCACGGACATAGTTAGAATCGCTCACAAGAAGGCCAACCATTTCTTGAACATATTTTTCGACCATCGCATAGTAATCATTGGGAGAAACAGAAACACGACGTGAGTATTCACCAAAACGAGGAATTGTGTTTCGCAATCGTTCATGTACACAACACCCTCCCAATGCTGAAAGAAATCCTGTATAGTTCAACCATTCAGTTAATTGAGCCTATAATAAATATGAATTAAAAAGAGATGAGTAATATTCATTAAAAAAAAAAAAAATAAGCATCGATTTATTTATTAAACTTTATCCCGTCATAAATCCAATAACAGTAACAGTTTATGTAATTTTTAAAGGATTAAATTATTTTCTTTTTTTTTATCCTTAGTACCTGTTGCAAGTGATCTTGAGCAATTAATTTTGTTAGGTTTTGCCATCTAGACCAAGCTTCTTCCCATGCACCAAGATTACCAGCATTAGGTTGAGTCATTGATCGTAATAATTTCCTAATTCGTCGTTGTTGAGCCATTCTACCAGGTACAGGATATGGTACAGTAGATAACTCTTTGTAAATGTTTATATTATCAACGATAGTCATTTGTGAAGGTGGAAACTCTGGTGGAGCTTCCATATCATTAGCAAGATTTTCAGAAGTAAATTCAGCTTCCGAACATAATTGACCAAAACAATTTACAGCTGTTAAACAAATTTCAGGATCAGGTGAACATAACATTACTAGCAAGGCACTTTCTAGTCTTATGCATGAAGTGTGACGAAGTGCAACATTATTTCCTTTCGATTGTTTATCTTTATGAGCTTTTAAAAATTCATTACGACGCACTAATAGTTGTGATAATAAATCCAACATATCTTTAGCAACAGTGTCCCTTTCTTTTGAATCCAATATCAAGTTTGCAATTGAAAGAATTATTTGAGAGCTATATAAATTTCAAATATCAATATAAAATTTCATTGTTTCATGGAATTGTAAACGCATGATAATAAATATTACATTTCTTATACCTTATATGCCAAAATTGTTGCATCTTATTATCCGGAGATCCCCAGAGTTCAATAAGCTCCACATTATGAAATTCCAGTAAAGTCTCAGCCGCGGCTGTTCGAATAGCAACATTTGAATCCTTCAAGCAATCATTGATAGCAAGAATTATTGATTGATTATCCTTTGATTGGTCGCGACCCTATTAAAAATAAGTATTAATGATTGAAGAACTATTAAATACCAGAAATTGCATTAATACTATAAAACACTATAAGAAAAAATTTTAAACCAACCATAATAGCGAGTTTAGGATCAGTTCGATATAATCTCAAAAGATTAAGAATAATCTCGGCTTTATCACGGAGGTGAACTGACCTGTCTCTATTTGACATAATATCTTGAAACAGCCTGCGAAGAGGTACTGCTAACATTGAGCGCATTGATGAAATTTGTAAATTCCATGGAAGCCTATTTTCCTTTTTTTTAAAAAAAAGGGGGGAAGAAAAGAAAAAAAGGTATTCAATAAATATTTCAATAAATAATTGTGGCAGTTTAAGCTGGAATTTACATTTTAAACCATTTTAATTTAAAATTTAAAATTTTTTGGGACCCTTTTTGTTGGCTTTTTTTAAAGTTAAGTTAGAATTGATAGTGTTATTAATAAAAGAATGTATGTGAATTTTAGTAGGTATTATATATTTAAATAGGCACCTCACATCCCAGTATAAGAAATCTCAGCATAAGAAAATCCAGCATAACAAATCCAAGCATAAACGGCCACAATAATTATTATAATATCTTAAAATTAAATTATATAATACCTCTGATGCAATAGAATTGCAACTTTTAACAAGCACCAACTTAAAAGCAATGGGTGCATTGTCTTGTAAACATAATGGAATTAAAGACTCCTGAGTTTTTCGGGGATTTAGTCTAAATAAGGCAGTTAGACAATCAGTCATAAGTCTATGATCCACCTTATTCTCATTTGGAAATGGGCTTGCAGGATTAAATAATTTTGACTATTTAATATATTTAATAAAAATAATTGGTTATAAATTATGAAATCGATCATTATATAAGAAGTGCATAAAACGAACCTTCAACTCATTTTCTATGTCTGGAACTATCGATCGAAGAGTCGATGAATCATTATAATTGACATAAGTAGATGCTTTACAAATATCAACATAACACATTGCAGCTATATCAGCTAATCCTACTCCTTTTAGACCTTTACTGCTCCTTAATGCATTTCTTAGTTTCTCCAAAAACTGGGTATGGGGCTTTACATAAATTAAACAGAAACATTTAATAATGTTTTTTAAAGGAATTTTAATCGGGATTAAGTCTATTATTGGTGACACCTCCGGTAAAGTTTCCGCGATCACTGATCTATGTCATGTGATTTGGCCAAAATTATATGTGTAAATTTGGCCGAGTGATCACATAACTTTACCGAAAGTGTTGCCTATAATAGATTTAATCCAAAAGTTTTATTGGGATTAGACTCTACTATCGAAAATGATTAAAACCCTTTTTTGTTATAATGAACAATTTCCTAAAATTGACAAAAACGAAAACTATGAGGAATAATGAAGCTCATGACGATTGATGAAACACAAGAATATTATTCATTCATTATGAAGTTATTCCATATGATGTTAATTTTCCATGTGATGTTAAGTTTTTATGTGATGTTAATTTTTTATGTGATATTAATTTTTATGTGATGTTAATTTTTCATGTGAAGCTAATTTTTTGTCGTTATCATCTATCCGTTTCTTTTTTTGGCACATTTATTATTATCAGACAATATCTGATGATTTGCATTAATCAACCAGATGTATCTGATAGGTCTAATGAAGGAAACTATCAGTGCCAGATTCAATGAAATGTAAGGTTAAAAATTAATTTATACAGTATATGAACTTGCTAATTTTATGAAGTTAACTTTCTTTAACGAACTAGAAAAATTTGAATCAAATGAATCTTGATGACGAAGTTACAACAATTTTACAATTCGGAATATCCGAATGTCATCTAAAGAAAATCAACTGAATTTTTATCAAATAATTTCGTCAAGAATTTCACCAACCGTCAAAAGTTTCTTTAGGCGAAACAATTAACGAAACCATTTTGTCATTTGAGAAATAGTTTCATGCATCGTTAGTCCAAACAAAAATATTGACATTAACCAATAAATTAACTTTAGGCAGCCTTAATATGAATTCTGTTCTTTATTGATATAAATGATCATCATTTTACATTAAACTCATATAACCTAAGCTATCATTCATTTAAATTACGAGATAGTGACTTAGATAAATATTATTGAGTTTATCAGAACAGGACTAACTTTTATATATTGGGGTAGTCTAAAGCAGAGACAAATCACATATAATTGACCAATCAATTATAGGAAATTAAAAAAAAAAGATAAAAATTAAGGGAGGCAGCAGTCTAAATCTGTTTTGAGGTATTAATGAAAAATGACGGGAAGGCAATTTTACTATGTAAACCTAACCTATCAATGATCTAAAGTAGTACTAACCCTAACCCTAAAGTTAATTAAATAAAATATTTAATCTACATGGGTTATCTCTGCTTTAGACACCCCAATATATAGAAAATAATAAAAATGAAAAAAGCTAATAATTACAATAAAAATAATTACAATAAAGATAATATGAAAACTTCTGAAGACGCAAATATTTAAAGAAATTTATAATGATAAAAGGTACATTTACAAATAACACGAACATGAATAAACATGAATAAACACAAACAAACACAAACAAACACGAACAAACACGAACAAAATGAATAAACATGAATAAACATGAATAAACATGATAAATTAAAACACAATCTTAACCACCACCAAGTTTTATAATAGCAAATAAGACATTAAAAGCGGAATATTTTTCACCAGGGCTACAAGGAACAATGCCAATCGTTGCAAGAGTCTGATGAGATCCGCTTATAACTTTATTTTTAAAAACAAGTTTTAAATGAATCTTGAAATAATCACAATGGTGACCATCTGTTGCTGTCTTCCTTGATATTTCCATGCCCGCCTTTTCAAAAATCATACGTTCCAGATCAACAACAGTATTATCAGAAGATACACTTAATTCAAGTTCACGGTTTGGAAGGATAACTTTTATTGTACCACTTGTAGAAGAGTTTTTAGGAGAGTTTGTATGAAGTTCTTTGTGTGTTTCTTGAGTAACTCTAACCCTTCTAACTACATAAAGGACATCTTCAGAGCTGATCTTTAAGTCATTAACTTTTTGATTGTTTTCTAGAATAGTGTCTTGATAAAGGATAATTTGTTTATCAACCTCAATATTATATTGTGCATTAATTTTTTCTTTGATATTAAAAACAGTAGCATCATTTCTGATTGGAAAAGATGTAGTCCAATTAGATTCTTCTTTAATCGTAATTGTTGTATGGTCTTTATTATAGTTCTGGTCATAAGGAGGTGGTTGATCATATAAGTCATCATTTTGTGGGTCATCGTAATATTGAGTTTTATCATCAGTAAATTTTGAAAGTTTAGCTTTTAACTTCTTCTTTAAGCCACTTTCCTTAATTTGACTAATGATTTTGTTTAAAAAAGCTTTGCCAGAAGATCTTTTTGATTTCTCTTTGCCATAAGTTCCTTTTAATTTCACATCGTTAGAAGAATAAGAAGAGTATTTAGGAGGACGAGGGTATTCTGCGACGCATGCCATATTCGAGAAAAAAAGATTGAGTAAGATTTTTTTTAAGAATTGTTATATTAAAATTTAATAAGAGACTTAAAATTCTACTGATCGCAGAGTGACTACAATTTATAAGAGAGTTAATCACGGAGTTCAGAGAAATAATTCCGTAAGTTTATTCTAAATTCAGCAAGTTGTTACAATTTTTTGATAAAGGTTTGTACGTGGGAACGAAATATTTTTGAAGTTTATTTAATTCTAAATCGAATCAAGGGATACAGAATTTTGTAATTCTAAAAGACAAAATTGTAAATTTCATAGTGCATTACAATGAGATTTTTTCTATGATTTCTATAAACCATTTTGCGTGTAATAAAGTACTAACCGATTAGATTATTATCTCGATAAAATTTGACAAACTCTTAAAACCTTCGCGGGACAAAATAGACACTAAAATAGAAATGAGTATTATCAAGCGAATTATTAAGCAAAAACATGTAAATTTTTTCACAAATAGGGGCTGAAGAATTTGATCCCATGATATTTTTTCCTGTAATCTATGATTACACCATTCTATCAATCTCTAATTTCTAAAAATCGAATCTTTATTTGGCAATACTCAAAGATTTGATGTATCATTGCAATGATAATCGTACGCATGACCAAAATCTTGTTTATAGATGCGACCAGAATCTTGTTTATGGATATGACCAGAATCTTATAGATAAAGAAATTACCAATTTACGTGAGGATGAAAGAACATTCCAAGACAATCAACAAGAAAATCAGTGGAATAATTTGATGCACAAGGAAGAGTAAAAAGTTCTATGTATAATATTAATAATAATAATTAAGAAATTTCATTCATAAAAATAAATAAACTAATAAATTTTTAGTAAGAATTGATTAGTAAAAATAGAATTCTTTGTCTTAAATTGTTTCGCGTTGTTAATTAACATGTATTTTTGAAGATCCAAAACAACGAATAGATATAATTAACAAATATTTATTTTTAAATGTTCGATAACAGTAAAAATAACTCATTATAATCCTATAAATGGAAATGTGATAGTTGCCTAATAAGTTAGGACATGAATGCATGTATACTGCACTGTATTATCAATATTGATACCATAAAGGAAATTAGATAAAAAAAACAATGCATTCTTTCATTATCTTGCCATAAATCTAGAAATTACAACATAAATTCTATCGAATTCATCTTAATTTGTTGTACGTACTAGTTCTAATTCAGGGGTTTAAAATTCATTTACTCGTTAAAATGAGGCGTGAGATTAAAAAAAATAGTCACACAATATTAATTGTACATTAGCACTATTTGCAACAACTTATTCCGTACATCGACAATAGATCATCACCTCATGTTACAATTAATTTTTCATCTCTCTATAATATGTTTTGATTAACGACACCTCAAACGATTGATTAAATTTGGAAAATACATTTTACTGTGTTATCTAATATATGTGCAACCGAACTATTTATCTATAAGGAACTTTATTATGGAATGTTTAAAATTTCTTTGTTGATTATGTGATACAAATACCTCGGATGTTATTGTTGATAGAACTTCATGTATAGTTTAAAAGTTGAGTCGTGTATGTTAATGACGTTAATCATAATTTTGCAAAAATATTTCTTGGTTTTCTGTTTATTAAAAATTCAGATTTTATTAATTTTTTACAAGATGTTTTCTGCTATAAGATGTGAAATTTGCAAAATTATGAAAAAGACTGATGAATTTTTAAAATTAACTACCAATTGTGCTCACGAAAATGTAATTTGTCGCGATTGTGCTAGCAAAGAATTGTTAAAATCTTCATATAATACAAATGACGATAATAATATCACTTGCTTTGCACCTGGATGTAAACAACTAATTACTACCGCTGATATTAGAAGAATTAGAGATAGCAATACAGAAGCTGTTGATAATGCTTTTCAAAGGTTTTTATTTTCTTAAGTTAAAATAATGAATAAAAACTTTGCAATTTTTATTTATTAATTTTGTTTGTAGTTTAAATACACTCTGCTTCAGTCGTTCAGCTGCCGAAAACATTCCAGGATTTCAATGGTGCAAAAATGGTATATGCTTTATTATTATTATTATTATTATTATTATTATTATTACATTTGTTTTTAACATCTTTAGCAACATTATGATATGATTCTACTTATAATGCTGTAATAGGTTGTGGTTCCGGTCAAATACATATTAATCATGATGGTAATGTCGCTAATGTTGGTATGCATTGTTTAATTTATTAAATAGATATTGTATACATTCTGTCCTCTTTGAAATATCTAATGACTTACTGAACGATGCATTAAATTAGACTTATACCCACAAATGGAATGCGTAAAATGTAACAAGATAACTTGTTGTAAACATAAAGTTCCATGGCATTATGGACAAACCTGCAAAGAGTATGATCAAAATGTTTATTGTCCTAACTGTAGAATTGCTTTCCAACCAATAAATGATAGTCATTGTAGTGATTCCTACTGTCCTATAAAAAGCTGTGGGACATCTCTTCGCAGAACAAAATATTGACAGTTTGGTAAAGGTTAAGGACATTATTAAAATCTTTATGATTATAAATTTATGTTTCTATAAATCTTTGTCAATATTTTTTATATTTGATTTTATTTATATTTCAATAATAAAGAAATTACATATTATGCCAATATTTACGTAATTTGAATTAAAAGATCATAATTCCGAAGCAAAGGAAATGAAGTCTAAACAATATTTAAAAAAGCTCAGCTTGATCTCATTATAAATTGTTACCATTTTTTTTGACTATGATTATATAAAATGTATTCTATTCATTGTAGTAATGATTTTTACCACATAAACAACGGGATTAAATTATCTATATTTTTTATATGCAAAAAAGTATTCCGTTCGTGTTTTTCTTCACACATTGATCCGTTTGTTATAATTCATTCTTAGAAATCGTAACTAACCACTGCATAATTGATTGTTATACAGTACTTTAAATTATAAATAAGCATAATATGTTTTCTGTGTTATCGGATCAACAGTGCGGAAAGAAAGAAAGCATTAAGTAACGCTCTGGATCCATGAATCCAGTTTCTTATTAATATATACATGTTCTTATCAGATAATAATTATTTAAGTTTTAAAAAAAATGCCGAGTAACTTTTTTAAATACTTTCTGAGAACATAACGTTTCATTAATAAAAAAAATCAGCACAAAAAACCATTCCTAGCTTTAAACGGACATTAATATTTATCGTACAAAAGAATTTCAGAAAGAACTTCACGAATTTTCAAGCACCTCACTCAGTGGATCGGAGGTAGCTATGCAGTAGAAACTCGAGACATTGGATATTCCATATTGTAAATAAGTTGCAACTTTATGTTTTAAGTTATGGCATATCTTAACGTGTGCATGTACCGTATTTTTTATATTATGTTGTAACTTTATATCCAGTAACTCACGCATATGTTATACTTTATTCTAAACTT